AGTCTTCTGATACTGCAGTGGAGTCAGGACTACATTTGTGAGGAAGAAGGGGACAGTGACCATTGAGTGAACAGTCATAAGGACCTGTCTTAGATAAGCTTGTGTCCACGCCAGGCAAATCAGAACCCTCCCCTGAGGGTTTATATACAGTCTAAGAGAAGGCAGAGCTTTCTTAGTTTGAAGTGGCTAATGTGGGGTGAAGTAAACCTCTGCTCTGAGGTTGTTTTCTGCATCCCGCCCACACCCCTACCACACACGCACACACACATCCATACAGATGGTGCGTGATAGGATGAGGGTGAGGAGAAACCTGACAATGTTTTCAATCCCCAACGCCATCTTCATCCTTGGCTTTCCAAGAAATTATCATTTCAGCTTAAATTTCTTTGTGGGTTCAATGTCACTTGTGTCATTTGCAACAACCGGAACAGAACCCTGTCTGCTGCATTTCCCCCAAACTTCTGGCTCTCTCTCCTCCCACATCCACTTGTGTGTGGCGCTGGCTCACCACACAGCTTTCGTGGGTTCTCTGCCTTGTGTCTTCCCAACTCTGAAGCTTTCATCACCTTATTAACTCAGCCCCTGGGCCCCAGTTCCATATTCCATGGGCAACAACCTCAACAGCTTTGCTTGTAGCCAAGAAGAGCTGGTCCAGCGTCACTCCTTCAGCATGGGCTTGGTCAGCGCCATGTTCCCTCAGAGTAGCTATGAGCAGGAGAAGATAGCATCTCTGATGAAAACCACCCAGCCCCTCCTAAAATGGTTCTGTACCCAGTTGAAAAGTACATGTTTCACAGGTGGAATAGCTAGATTTCAGAAATGCAAGTGCTTCTGACAGGGCTTAGAGTCTGGGGGCTCTGCCTGCTTTGACCTGACTTGAATGGAGAAGAGAATTACGGATTTATTTCAGGAGGGAATCAGTGAGGGATCTGAGGAAGGAGTGAGTAGGAGAGCTGAGTCAAGTCATAAATGAAATCAGTGTGGCCATCGGGCACAGGCCAGCCGGGAGAGCCACGAAGGACTAACGAGAAAAATCCCAGGAAAGGCAGAAATAGAAGAAGGTGAGCCTCTGGTTCAGTAAATATGGCCAACTTAATTTTTGTAAATGTTTATTTTCACTTCTTTCTTTTTCTTTTTTTTTTTTTTTTGATTTTCTCCAGCTTATTTTATGTACTGCTGTGTTTGACATACATCAAGCAATTTATTTTTATTGTATGACTTGATTTTCAATTGAATTTAAAAATGTACGATCCTAAACATCTAGTAGAGACAACATAAACTCACATATTTTCACTTCTTTCTTATGAAAACATTGCAAACACCAGTGAAAGGAGAGAGTACCACGGATTCCCGCGCAGCCCCCATCCAGTTGGATGGCCTTGTTAAGTAGAACAAGTCTGGGAGGAAGAGAAAAGAGAAGAGAGCGAGGTCCAGTGAAAGACAAAATGGTCAATGACAGATGTATTAGCAAACTTGACAGAGGGGACAGGAAGTGGAAACCCAATATGTTCTTCTCAATCCTAGGTGAATGAAATGATTACTGAGTGAGATCTGGCTGCTTGTTATTTGAGTCAGGATTTGTAATTTGAGGAAGCAGGCTCCTCCCCTCCCTCCCAATTCCCTGTGGCCTGATCTCTGCATTGCTGGGGGTCTTACACAGTGACAAGACTAAGAAACAAGAAAGCAAGAGGTGTAATTTGTTTGACATGCAGCTGTGACTGGTCTGCAGTCTCCCAGCCACTGGGCTAGGCTTTATAGGCTCGCAGACCTGAGAGACAGGGTCCTTGCTTTCACAGAATGCAGCGTCTAGCGGGGGGAGGTGGACAGGAAGATCTACAGCAGGCATGCTATGGCAAAGCTTTTCTGGTAGCCTTGACTAGGTGAATGCTTCTTGGAGGAGAAGGAGGATTGTCTTGATTTTTAGAAGGATGAATAGGAGTTAGGTAGAGAGATTTAGTAGGAAAGGTGTTCTAGACAAAGCAAACAAAGAGGTGCTTGAAGAGAGCCTTAAGTCAGGTTGCAGGGCTGATTGTGCAATTGTGACCTACAGAAAGGATGGCCAGAGTTGGGGTGGGAGCAGAGCTGAAATCCAGCCCAGGCTTTGCTCCCCGGAGCAGCTGCACCCACTGGAGTAGCAGGTGCCCTTGTCTCATCTGCATGGGGTGCCATGTGGGCAGGGTTGGTGGATGTGAGTAGCCTTGTCTAAATGTGTTTGGTATTTTTTGACTAGAGGGCACATGTGAGGCTTTGCCAGTAACAAGAGGTGTTCAAACTTATGGTGATAAGGAGCTAATGAAGAATTGAAAAGGCAGAGCAGGGGTGAATGAAATAATGCCATTTGCAGCAACTTGGGTGGACCTAGAGATTATCATACTAAGTGAAGTAAGTCAGAGAAAGATAAATATCATATGTCATCACTTATATGTGGAATCTGAAAAAAGTTGTACAAATGAACTTGTTTACAAACTGGAAATAGGCTTGCAGACACAGAAAACAAACTATGGTTACCAAACGGAAAAGTGAAGAGGGGGATAAATTAGGAGTTTGGGATTAATATACACACACTACTATATATAAAATAGATAAACAAGGAACTACTGTATAGCACAGGGAACTATATTCAATATCTTATAATAACCTATAGTAGAAAAGAATCTGAAAATAATACTTATATATTATTATATACATATGTTTTATTATTATAAAATATTTAATATTATTACATGTAATATTATATTATGTATTTTATATATATATATATAAAACTGAATCACTTTGCTGTATGCTTGAAACATTGTAAATCAACTATACTCTAGTTTAAAAAAATTTTTTTAAAAAGCAGATCGGGGCAAAATGAGATTTTTATTTGGGAGAGCCCATCCTGGCTACATGCTGGAGGGTGGTTTTGAAGATGGAAAGTCTAGAGGAACAGAAACCAGTGAGCGGGCACTGGTGCAGGTGAGAAATAATGAGGGCTGGCAGTAAGGCTCCGGCAGGGGAAGGAGAGGAAGTGGTGGCTTTGATGTCTAGAAGGTAGACTAGGCAGACTTGATGACAGGCTGGCTCTCTGTGTGAGGGAGAAGGAGGCGATTAGGATGACTCCTGGGTTTTTAATTTCAGCAGCTCAGCGGAAGGTTCTGGCTTCCCAGCAAAGACTGATAAACCTGGGAACTTTGATACAGTGTAGTAAGGTGTTAACTGCTGAATAACAATAAAAAGTTCCTTATATAAGCCTTGTGGTTAAAGATTAAAAGGAAGGGTTCAATCATTGCTTTCTAGATGGAGGAAAAACGCTCTCTCTTGAGCTGTGTCCCTTCAGAGAATGACCAACTGATATTAAAGGAAACTGTTCGTCCCCCTCTCAAGCACAGCGGAACAGGCTGCAGTGGATAATCAGTCTTGACAAGATAGTAATGCCCCGACGCTCACAGCTAGTTCATCGCCCTTATTCTTTCTTTCTTTCAGGAGTAAAATGATGTAAACCAAACCCTTTCCCATTCTTTTGGAGAAAGCATTTTTTGTTTTGTCCTGATAGTGGCATGCAGCAGGGTTCTTCCTGTCTCCCTGTGCGCGTCTGGATGGGGTAAGAGCTCAAGCTTTGGAGTTGAATGGTCCTGGGTTTGAATACCAAGTTTAGTCTCTTCTGTCACTTTGGACAGGGTACTTACCTTGATGACCCTCATCTGTAAAATGGGGGAGATATGACCCAGCTCACAGAGCCGTTGTGAGGGTTAAGGGGTAATGAGAGGGAAAGGCTTGGCGTAGGGCCTGGCAGGGGCAGGCTGGTCACAAGCGGCACTGGGAGGGGTGGCCCCTGCTGCCACTATTATGTTTGTTATTAATGCTGGTGTCCAGACATTAAGAAAAGATACAGCTTGCTTTCGCAAACCTTGATTATTCCTGCACTGGCATCTATTAGATGGTACATATATGTAATGTTGCCTTCTTGCTGGATTGGCCCAAGGAGAAAGAGGCTCAGGCTGCACACATCAGAGGGTAGCTTCCATACATGGACTGTCCTTCCTGGGGGGCTGTGGGAGTTTAGGCTGGTTATACTACCCTTGGACTATAAAAACCATGGGAAAGAAGGCAGAGAACTATGGTGCTCTTGGTTTTCACATGACTGAGATGTGTTTCTAGGATACAATTGACCGCTGAAGCTACATTTGCTATTTTACATTTAATAATTATTTCTTGTTCACTACCAGCATGTGGTTTCATCAGCCAGCTGCACCCAAAGAAAGTGTGCATAACTCTCCTTATCAAGAAACGGTCCTGATAAGATCCTCAGTGACTGTAACTCTGGTCATTGCTCTGGAATGTCCCTGATGGTCCTGCCAGTTTTCATTGGCCATAGGTGTGATATTTTTGTCAATGCCCCCATATTATGCTTCCACAAATTAAAAATGTATTATGCTGAGCTGTGACTGAAAACAAACAACTAGTGTGCTTCTATCTCACCTGTAAAAAGGGGAGTGGTGATAATTCAGGAGTGGATATTGTTAAAGTGCCTGGGATAAGAAATACATGTTTAAACATGAAGTATGATTGTTCTTTTTATTTTTTAATTGAAGTATAGTTAATTTACAATGTTGTGTTCCTGTATACAGCATACTGATTCAGTTATATATATATATATATATATATATATATGTATATACATACTTTTTTCATTATAGGTTATTATAAGATATTGAATATAGTTCCCTGTGCTATACCTAAGACCTTATTTACTACAACAGTAGTTTGTATCTGCTAATCCCAAACTTCTAATTTGTCCCTCCTCCCTCTTCCCCTTTGGTAACCGTAAATTTGGTTTCTGTGTCTGTGATGGTTGTTCTTGACGGTCACTGAATCCTTGTGAAGTGAACGTGAGAATCAGTCAGAGACTAGGAAAAGTGGAAAGTCTGTTTCTTTATACTACTCTGAAATTGATTATGCCTTTGAGAAAGAAAGAAAAAAGCTTTTTCATGATGTTTAAAATTAACCATCCATGGAGGGCAGGTATAGCTCAGTGGTAGAGTACATGCTTGTAAACATGCATGAGGTCCTGGGTTTAATCCCCAGTACCTCCTCTAAAAATAAATAAGTAAACCTAATTACCTACCTCCCTCTCCAATGCACACAATATTAACCATCCATAATTTGTTTGCTATGTAGGAACATTCGGTGATTGTTAACTATTTAAATGAGAGGTTCTCCACTGGAGGTGCTTTTGTCCCCGGGAGACCTTTAACAATGTCTGAAGACCTTTTTTTTCGGTTGTCACAGCTGGAGAGGTTGTGCTACCTAAGTCTCATGGGTAGAGGTCAGATCCTACAGTGCCCAGGACAGCCCCCCACAACAGACAATTGTCTAGCCCAAGTGGTGGTGCAAGGTTGAGAAATCCCAAGTTTAATAACAGCTGTTGGGAGCAACAGGTGATTGTTACTGGATACTAGACTGTCTCTTTCAGCAAGAAATTAGCCTTCCAGTTGTTTTCTGAGAATTGCCATTATTTTCCTCTGTCTGTAGAGGGAAACAACTGCTCATCCTTCTTAGAGGTTTAGTCAGGGCTCTCTTCTTTCTACCTAAGTCTCAAATTACCAGACACTTCATTCTAAAAAACCATCAGGCCAGTTGCTTGGGAGATGATGAGTGGGAAAAAGCAGCAACCAAGTTGACTTGGTGTTCACATTTCAGCCAGTGAGGGTTAGCCCTCTGTGGCCACATGGCTGATCTGTGGTGCTGGAGCGAGGGGCTGGAGAGAGAGGCTGGGTGAGGAAATGCCTTCACATTTCAACACTCTCCTTCCAGGAAAGGGGAAGCTGGCTTTTCCAACACTGGCCAAGTGTGAACCCATCTAGGAGCAATCACAGAACCTTCCTTTTGACCTTTCTTCTCTGTTCTCCTGGATTTTTTTTTTAATTGAAGTACAGTGAGTTATAATGTGTCAATTTCTGGTGTACAGCACAATGTCTCAGTCATGCATATACATACATATATTTGTTTTCATATTCTTTTTCATTAAAGGTTATTACAAGATATTGAATATAGTTCTCTGTGCCATACAGAAGAAATTTGTTCTTTTAAAATCTACTTTTATATATAGTGGCTAACATTTGCAAATATCAAACTCCTAAGTTTGTCCCTTCCCACCCCCTTTCCCCTGGTAACCATAAGATTTGTTTACTATGTCTGTGAGTCTGTTTCTGTTTTGTAGATGAGTTCATTAGTGTCCTCTTTTTTCTTTAGGTTCCACATATGAGTGATATCATATGGTATTTTTCTCTTTCTGGCTTATTTCACTTAGAATGATGATTTCCAGATCCATTCATATTGCTACAAATGGTATTATTTCATTCTTTTTATGGCTGAGTAGTATTCCATTGTATGAATACACCACAACTTCTTTATCCAGTCATCTATTGATGGACAATTAGGTTGCTTCCATGTCTTGGCTATTGTATATAGTGCTGCTATGAATATTGGGGTGCATGTATCTATCCCACTCCTGAGCATATATCCTGGAATTTTCTTTATTTCAGAAACTGTTGGTTGAATACTTTCCATCCCAACCCCTATGGTAAATGTTGCTTATGATACCAAAAACCTCAATGAATCCAAGAATCGCTGAAAGAAAATTACAAAGGGTAATGGGTAATCATGTCATCTCCAAAAGAAAAATTGGACAAAGGGCTTTCTTCCTGGATTTTATGCATTTCTAGCTTATAAGGTGTAAAGTTAATCCACATTTTGCTATGCATTTATTTGGTCTTTATCAAAAGCTGTAAAATTATATAAATTCATGATAAAGGACTGCTGGAGCCCTGTGTCAATTTCCGTTTTTGTTCTCTATAGAAAGCTTTTGCTTTGTCTTTGAAAGAGGAGTATCCAGGCTCACTAGTGGAGGTAGATTGATAAATAGTAGGCAAAAGTAAATTGAATTGCAATAGTAAACTCAATCAATGTTATGAAATGGTTTTTAATTTGCATCCCTCTTGGTCAGCCTACAGGAAAACAAGTTACTTTTCATTGTGATGAATGTTAGGACACCTTCAGATCCATCAGCGGACCTCACTGTGCAAGGGTGACGTGAATTTGGAGAAGAGACTCTTGAGGTAGACGACCTGGATTCGGATCCTGGGTCTGTCACTGACTCTGGGACTATGGAACTTTGGATGGATGATTTCTCTCCCAGAGCCTCAGTTTCCTTATATTCAAAATGAGGATGGTCATATTTTCCTCAGAGGGTGATTGTGAGGGTTAAATGGGCTAATGCAGGTAACTAGCACAAAGTAAGTGCTCGATAAGGGTTAGTTATTTTTATTGTCCTCGTTATCCCTGCTGGATTCTATTATTCTGTATCTGTGCTGCATGGGAGACTGATGGATGGGGTGACTGTAGCTTGCCTACACCTAAGTCTGTGTAAATATACCTAATCTTGATCACATCGTCTTCCTTGAGACAGTCATCTTTTAGAAGCACATACTTTGGAACTAACAGGACAGAGATTTATTGATTTATAGTGAAATCCTCTGGCTTAGTATGCAGGGTGACCATAGGAAACACTGGATTAAGATCAGCATCTCGGATTCCCAAGCCTCAAATGTCTCCTAGTCTTCAAGCAACAGGGGACACATAGTAGAATTTGAGCTTCTGCTTCCCTTGAAAGAGGATGCTTTCAACTCTCTTAGCTTGTGGGATACTTGGGGGTTTGGATGCCTGTGCTTTAAAGGATGCTGAGATCAAATATATTTTGGCTCTATTTATGCCAAGTTGCTGACATGTTCTATTTATTGTCCCTAAAGCAGGTTAGAATCAAAATGCTGCTCATGAATAGGTGGAGATGATTTCATAGCTTGGGTTTTGCAGTTGATTTCCTAGAAACATATCTCATTTGTGCGCCTAAGTAAATACATGTGATTGCTTTTGAGCTTAACTGTCTCATTCAGGTATGTGCCTCCTCCTTAGTGTGGTATCTAAGTTGCCTGTGTGTTATTCCAGTAAACAAAGGCACTTGGTCAAAATGATCTCTCTTGAAAGCCTAAATTTTCTTTTTAAAATGTTAAAATGAGAACTATCCGTCTAAGGAATGCCTTGAAAATATTAGAAATCATTGTTTTTCAAAAATTAATGTCAGTAATTGTTAGACAGTGTCTGAAACTTTAAAAATCATAGCTGCCTGGAGCAGTAGTGGGGAAGAAGAATAAGACATAGAAACACTAAGATTGTATATTTCATAAGACAAAAGTGATACTGCATTCAGAACAAGAGATCTGAAGTGGCAGGGAATTTTAATACCCTGTAACAGGCTCTAGTGAAAAAGAATATGAAAAATAATATCGAATCACTGAATCACTGTGCTGTACACCAGAAACTAACACAACGTTGTAAACTGACTACAGTGAAAAAAACAAGAGATCAGAGAATTCTGTTCCATTCATTCTAGGTTGAATTTCGAGTAAATGACTGAATCCCTGAATATATAAAGCTAAGGATTTAATCGTCTGTAAATTAAAGAACATGAACTAGTGGATGTCTCAGGTGCATATTGTCTATAAATGTCAAAATCAGTGTAATGTGGCTTTTGGGTTGAATTCCTCAAGAGGCAGAGGAGATGAGCATTTGATTCAGTGCTAAACAAAGCCTTACTAGTAAACATTAAACTGATGTGGATTTAAATACCCTCTTCTACAATTTAAACTGGGCTGTAAAAGTAATGTCCCCATGGTGATAAGAGGGTCAGTATGGGGGTATGTGTGGAAAGATCGCTGTAGGAAGGTAAGTTGGCCCCGTTTCATGCTGTCTGCAACAGTGTGGGCTAATGGCCTGGACGGCATCATCGGAGTAAACCCGAATTAAAAACATGAGTGGGGATAGATCAAGGGCCCAGATTTACCCAGGAAATGTGTCAGTGACATTCAGCTCAGGAGAGAGGTTTTGAAGCCCCCTTTTATAGCATGTTAGTGGGAGAGGATAATTCTCACTATAGACATTCTAGGAAGAATTGGAAAAAGAGTGAACACCATAAATTTGATTTGAATTTGACTGGCATTGTAGCCTCAAATTCTGTATCCCTTTAGCTGCAGTGTATCCCTTTAAACTGTTAGTATGTGTCAGAGAGCAAGTAAGTATATTCCATCTCTGTAACCTGGGCAAGTAGGAATTGTAATAATCCTATTTAAGATGTAAATAGCGAAAGGGAGAAATAATAAGAGAATGGTCAAATAGAACTGCCCATGTGGTTGAGGAACTGTGCAACTCAGCTCAGTGACACCCATTGGAAAACCTAATGGAATTGCTCAAGAAGGAAAAATATATTTTCTTTCTCTCTCTTTTTTTTTTTTAATTTGGAAAAAATGTATTTTCAGTGGCAGAAATCTCAGAGCACTGAAAAATGTTAGAAAAAGCTGCAGGCCTTTCAATAGATGGAAATTCCTTGTTTTCTCAAATATATCTTTCAAGACATTTGGTGGAAATTCTAATAGCTACAGTTAAATTTCTTCCTAATAATAAAATTTCAGATACAAACTCCTTCATCATTTCAGATTTCCCCAAATTTGTCAAAGGCACAATACTACATATTTTAAATAGTCAAATATCTTTAAGTGTCATGCTTACTTCTGACTTTGCTGCTTCCCAGTGTGGTGCAAGATAACTGCTCTGAAACTCAGCTTTCTTGTCTGTAAAATGGGGGTAAAAATCTCTGCCTGCAGAGTGACCCACATTATTAATTACATACGTATATATTAGATTAAATACATAGCATTGGACTGGGTAGCCGGTGGGAGGCCAATAGATGCTGGTGGGGCATGCAGGTAGTGATTTCCGTATGTTAATCTCTACCCAGACTTGGACACAATGTGTATATATTTTACCAAATCAGTTAACTGAGTCAATTTCAGAATCTGCAAAAATGGTGGGAATACTTTGTGTGTGTGTGTATGAAATATTTGAGATTTGCAGTCTGCTCATAAACATAAAACATCTTGGGGAAAAAAAGATGCCACTCAGATATAAATGATTACTTGTCATTCCTCCCAGTTTTGTTGACTCAAAAACCTCAGTTGCAACATCTCATCATAATCTTATC